AAGCCACCAGATGCCCAGGTAATCTGAAGATATCTGTGGACAGCCTGCAGGTTTTCCACTTTTAATCACTCGGAACAAAGATATTAGGAGCAACAGGCGCCTGACGTTATAGATCTCGCTTAAGGTAAATGTATGACATCCAGCAATGAACCCCCGCTGTACAGTACCCAAATATGCTGTCCTACCTCAAGACACTATACTATTCTTCACACAACCCTCTGCCCACCCCGGGTGAATATGTATTGTCCGCATGAAATAGTTAGTCCTGTTGAATAATGAAATATTTCTTAGTAATGAAACACACGTGATCCCTAGAAACATCGGCCTACGGGTGACCCAGGCCGGGCCCGGCTTTGGTTCGGAAAAACCGCTTTCCCACAGTCCGGCCCGACCGTCCCTGAAAAAGCCTGGGCCAGTCCGGCCGTACTCAAAGCCAGACCGACTGGCCGCTTGGGATCACTAGCTGTACCATGGAAACAGTGACCAGTATAATCCATTCCCCGACTGTTCCACGCATCCAACAACAACTGGGCTTCGGTAGAGGGTGGTAGTTGACCGACTACAGGAGGAGGCAGGGACTATCAGCACCAGGTCCAAACAACACAACGCTGCATTGAAAATAATAGATCTCCGGAAAGACGAGGTTATACTCAGGATACAACTATCATAGAAGGGGGTATCATTCACATTTCGCCGAGGAGGAACATAACACCACATGGAGGTAAATTTACGAGCACCGGTAGCAGGCCGGAGAACTACAGCGTTACAGTAGACATAATTTCTCTCCTTGCGAATAACAAAGAATTCCAACAAAACAAATGACGTTCATTTCCCGAAAGCTACCTATCATTCCCGATCATTCACAAAAATTACCATGACCCCGCGTCCCGACATCCACCGTTCCCACTCCAACGACTCGACCAACTACTATTATATCTCGGGTTGCCTAGTGTCTATTCCGTATCGCCCAACTCCCATTATTCATCGCCTTTACTTCAATTTCCTATTACCGCTCCGATACCGTCCGAATCTTACTGAGGAGTGATCACCGCCACCACAATCTTGTAAATGCAAGCCGATCTACCCATCCTAGCGGCGCCCATCAAGCGAATAAGTAGCTAAATCCCCTAGAATCTGTGTGAGCCATAAATCAAAGCAGTGAAGAGGCCTCTTAACGTGACGTGACCGGTGGATAGCTAACAATGGATTCATGTTAACGCCAGAGGGGCCGGAACTTCCAAGAGCAAGCGAATTCAACTGTGGGTATCGGATGACCACCAGAACTAACTCAATATTAACCTAGGGTACAGAAAAGCGGGGGTGAAGGTCGGCAATAACGACACCAGCGGATAACGAGGCCATGTCTCACGAGCAGTGAGAAGGTGCAGCTGGTAGGCGACCGGATCGATAGCGCCAATTTCGCATGCCATCGCGTACTGTCGACACGCGTGGTGTTGTGGCCCGTACATTAATGAACCAAGCGTGCCTCCGGCACAATAAACTTGCCAACTCGAGCCCAGTACACGTCGCAGTGGGTAAGTCAAATGGATAATGTCCGGTTTTAGGGCCATCGGTTCAGCTCGACCGCCCTTAGGTCTGGAGGAAAACAGGAGCGGCACTTACCACGCTCTACCGCCTGATGCTACAAAGTACTACTGAAGTGCGTTTGCGAAGAAGGCTCAGATTTCCACAAATACCGGTGCCTGTGAATAGGGAGGGACGGTGTCCCGTACCGGCATTTGGGTGAAATCGATATTCCAGTATCATACCATTGGCAAAGGAACGGCCCTAATTTCCCGATCGCGCCCAGGTCTTTCCGCAAAATGTGCGCCGGTAAGTAAGTGAGGTGAGTCCCAAGAAGGGCAAACCCGGGGCTAGCGCAGGTGGAAGGTGCTGATAAGCGGCTGATGTTGAACGGCGCGGTATAAACTTGCCGGGGTCGTGTGGTTGACACCAGGGATCGCGAGAGGCGATCCGGGAAACCCCCCTTGGGTTGAGAAGGATTTTCGGTCACGTGAATAGAGGGGGCATATATCCTAGTAAAACACAAGCAACATATTCTGGATAGGTGCCGCGCTTCTTTTTTTTCTCGCATTTACCAGCTAACTAGGTTGTTAGAGGTGTCAGTGGTTATAGAGGTGATAAATTTAAATCGAAAGAAGCAAGAATTGAATTGAACGTTGAACTACTTGATCTAAAGGTAAAATACTGGGCATTTTGGTACCCCCATTCCCCTCCCCCGTATACAATTCCGGCACCACTACCCCCCCCCCCCTTCCATCACCCGCCGCTCACCACCTTGTTAGGCAGCAATGAGATCCGAGATTCACGATCTTCCGAAAGCAAATACGAATCAACCGCAAGTACCCCAAATCACAGTAGCACATATTAGTAAAGATCTCGAGTATCCTGCAAATGGATAGCCACCCCCCATGCTTTCAGGTACCTATTCCAAGTTTTTAACTAGATGAGATACCACTTGGTACTCCATCGCTCAAAAAAAATTCCATTATTACGATACATACTGCCATTCAAACCATGTTCACGAGCTGCGTGGCAAGCCATAACGTATCCAGCGGAGACCGGTATTCGGCACCACAGGGTCCGGTTGTCCGGGTGGAAACGCGTAAGTGCTTCCTATATCGTGCAGGATTGAAACAGATTGATTGATAGTGGTCACCTGAACAATCCGGGCAATGGGTGGGGTACTAGAGCCCCCCCCCCCCCCGGCCCACCGCCGTCAGCCACGGGCATAGGGGAGCAGACGTCCGCAGTTTGGAGGGGGGGGCAGTCGCAGGGGATGGCTTGGACCTTGCCGTCCGCTACTTCCAAGATCGTCACCTAGCAGACCCCGAGAATCACAAAGACTCAGAGCCTGCAAGTAGTATTAGAAGGTTGTTGAAAATCACAGACTCACTCACGCTAAAGGATCGATAGACATCGTTTATCGAGCAGATGGAGGCCAAAACACTCTAAAATTACGAGTTTGAGAGCGACCATCCCTCCGGTGCGAGAGCCCAGGCTTTTGTTGGTGTCATGGGGAAGGAACGGTCCACATCCCGCCACTCTTCGAGATGGAATTGAAAAATCGCGGGCTTCTTTTATCTAGGTGCCGATGCAGCAAATTAGTTTGTGGATTTTCTTTTCTATACTCTTTCCATCCATAGTTATTCGGTAACTAGACCTCCGTTCCTGGTGTCCTAGCCCCCGCTTGGTTACCTAAAGAATCCACCTCCCTAGCGATGGACAGACATCAAACAATGATAGATACCAAAACGCCCAAGCAGTTGAAAGTTTCATTTCTGATTATCTGTTTCCCAATCCTCGGTCGTGATTCCCTCCCACGTTCCCCGAAGTCGCGAGTTTGTTTGTACAGAGCTCAGCCAACGACGGCGGGAATTGGGCGATGTCATGAGAGTATAGGGCCCCCAGAAGTGATTAGGTGTGCTGCCATTATATTCTGTCTGAACCGGGGTGCGTGCTCAGCATAATTTTGAGTGATTGTGAAATCGTTCGAAGCAATTGGTCATCTAGTAATTAGGAGTAATAGACTCTAGTAATGCTTCTTGTGTTTGTTTATCCCTTGGTTTTTTAAGGACGATTGCTAGTTAGTACTTGAAAGAGTTCGCGGAAGAAATGGAAGTCTCACTCATGCCACTCTTTAATTTCCTCCCACCCCCATCGTCAACGGATTCAATTGGTCGAGGGCTCTATTTTCCAGGCAGGCATCCAAGGAGGAATTATGTCAATACGTAGAGTGATTCGAATACACCCCTAAGCCGAAGCCGCCCACCAATAAACATTCATCACCTCGGCAACATTAAAATCCTCCAACCGGCTACTTATCAATATATTCACACGAAAGATGGCATACGTCTCCCGGGAGAAATATGATTTGATGCCCGCCTCCAGTGACATCCTGACAGCAGCCTCGTCATTCCGGGGAGCCACTGTTTCCAAGGCGGTGCCATCCTGTTTGAGCCGGGGCTGATTTCTCCCTCCTCCTATGGCCACTTGACTACCGCCCACTGCACTAGCCTGGTTGCTATCACTAAAGGCGTAAAATCATCGGGGGATGGGTCATACGGGAAGTTGTTGTTCCGGCGCACCTTAGGTCATACCGTATAAGGGACCTGTGAGGCCATCCGTTGAAAATTCGTCGTGCGAAGACGAATAGCTCCATATCCCGATCCTGTGGTACCCAGAAGTGACCCGCCCAACGGTTAGTCGCACAATCAGGGAGAGCATACTTCTACAGCAAAATTATAGACCGCCCCTCTCCTAGCACTTCGGACAGCATCCACCGCCCATAGGCCGCTCCAACGTTGTAGCGATCGGGGGTGGGGTAAAAATTCGCCAACGCAGAGTCATGATCCATGGAACATGGGGTGTGCTGCCACTTATCTCGGCCAGGCGATGCCCCTTTAACCACGAACCCGATGACTTTTGGTGAAAAAGGTAGCTCTGCGAATAGCGATCCCGCAGAAAGCGATTGGAGAAATTTCTCCTTTCTTCTTTCAGTCCACGGGGGAGGGTATCGGAGTCTTTGGTCATCTTGCTGCGCCAGATTTCGAGTGCGGCTGTTCGTTTCGCCAGGTGCGAGAAGTCTTGCGGTGGGTCGCGTTCTGTCGGGGCGTGTTCTTCGGCGTTCCGGTTTAACGTTCTGCTTGATCGTGGGGTGCGGTGGAGGAAGTGTTAATAAACTCCTCCCGTGAGTCATCCTGGTTGTCCTTCAAACCTCAAGCACCCCGGAAGGCAGAGGGTGTCTCCAATCGGCGGACGGATCGGGGGGTTGGGCGGGTACGATGTGCAGCAGACCTGCCCGAGGCACCGCATTCCGTTCTCCCCGACGGCGAAAACATGGGTGCGATAGCGCTAACTTCCTCACCTCCCCCCGGCTCGGCTATAGTCTCCTCTGAGTCGAGCTCTCTCTTGTTTTTGCGGTACGGGTGACTTGGAACAATGAATTTCGAAGCAAGTTGATGATCAAGGGAGATGGATTAGGTAATAGAAGTGCGTGCCTCACTCAACAAGCACTTGAGCCGCAGCGATGAGAGTTCGTTTCGTAACACAAGATTAAGAGCCGCGAAACCCGAGAACTGCTGCCAAGCCCCAACAAGAGCCGCAACCGCTTTGGATATTTGCAGATATCGTGCCGGTGATACGTGAATTATCGCAGCTGCTGCTCTAAAACCTGCCATCCGCAATTCGATAACAGATCCCGACCAGAGATACCAATGTCGGACCACCGCCAGGACACACCACCCACCGCTAATATTTTACATCAAAAGCGCACGAAATACGGGACCAGACAAACGGATCAAGGCATCAATTGCACTACCGCAAAGCCCGGATTCACGCTGTGGGGGGTCTTCCTTCTTCTCTTTCTCTAGGGACTCAAGAGTGGGGATTTGTAGGTCTTCGTGCACGTTCATCGGCTAGGTTGAGCTTCCAAGTAACTTAGCACCTGTGAAAAGATAAACAGGCGGTCGAGTCCGAGCTGGCCACCCAGACATAGAAAGTGAGCAGGACTAATCCCGTAAAAGCGTGCTCAATATCTTTGCCCCCAAATTGATAAAGCTGATAGAAAGCGGCAAAGCATGAACCAGTGGGAGGCTCAATAGCAATAGGCTCTGAGCACAGGTGTGCCGGGAAGGATGGCCGACTGCCTCTCGATGATCGCTGGAGATACTGGTTAAAGACAGACCAGGAGACATATATCCTCGAATAGCTATAACAGCTCCGGAGGCCAAATGAAGCACAGTAAACTCTAAAGAAACTCACTCTCCTTGAAAAACCACTTTCCCCCGTCATCCTAAACCATCCCGAGCTATCCAATCGTCTTAAACCATGTCCAACACCAATGGCATGCAAAAACTAGCCATCCAAAGCGAACCCCCCCCCCCCGATTCGAGCCTGCATAAATTCAAACAACTAGACCGGGTGCCCGGTATCCAGTGCCCGGTTGCAACGGGTGTTAGCGAAACCAGAATCAATATCCTACGCCTACCGGGAATAGAATCACCGGCGCCCCGTAATACTACATAGTACTTATGAATTACCGGTAGGCGTGACCCGGGACGTGTTAATTCCAGCGCTGGCAAGAAGAACGAATCCTGTGCTCCAAAGGCGTCCGGGTATTCTTGAAATACTGTAGTGATCATGTTGGAACTATTGATGGATATTCGGAATCAGAGAAGAAGAAGATCTTGATTGATTTGCTATTGCTCTCGAAGAGGAGAAGGAGAGAAATATGAGAGAAGGAAAATATATGTAGCGGTACCATCAAGCAAACACAGAATGAGAGCAATGAGAGACATAATGACATTGTATCTTGGACGCGCAATCATCTTTTCTAACAGATCATCTAGGCTCTCTTTCGCTTTAAGGACAAGCCAAGTACAGAGAAACTCATGCGCCGCTATCATACCTCGGGGGTGTCAGAGAGAGGTTTCTTGCATTTATCAGCTAGTTCTAACCTTCATATTACCGTCACGTGTCTTGTAAGTATCTGAGCGGCTTGTTAATATCGCATTTCTGGGTCTGGCCGTCTACTTGGTATGGCAGAACGTCAGCCCTGCTTCGTAACTTAGCTCCCCGATATTGTACAATAATCGGCCTATCCCTCCCGGGCTCTCAACGGAATCGAGAAGTGAAGCTACGAATAATGCTACGTTAACTTTGCTGATCCCCTGGCGTGTCTGGCGTTCCAACAAAATGAGGTATCCGGAAATACGGTGCTGCCTGTAGGGCGAACAGTATTTTTGGTACTGATGCTAGAAAAAATGCAGCCAGAGGAACATTAGGTACTGAGACTGTCCCATACCCTGCTATGGTTGTGAGCATGTATTTTGGGAACAGCCCCTTTAAAGCTTTTAAAGGGTTTATCTTTCTGGAGTTAGCGGTTTGCCCGCTAGAACAAAGGCAGCCAAACACAATGCTCTTCTGAAAGAACACGATGGTAGAAAGGTTCAGAAAAAAACCCAAGTGATGTTGCACCACTAGCTGGGCGGATGGGCCCCAAAGAATTGCACAACTCAGGGGCAGGGAAGTTCTTTTCTTCTTCGTCACCCACAGAGTCTCTCAACTAACTAAGAATAAGTAAAGGAGTATGTATCGACAACAAACTAAGTCCTTCTATCCTTCCATGGACTGCCACACATGTGCGTGGTATTTCCCGTACTCCTCCCCTTCTGCTTGCTCTAAATCCCGTGCTACCGAAAGGAAAGGCAAACTCCGGCTGCCCATAGCCTCTGGAAATCTGACTTTCCAGCCTTCCTTATCGCCCCTCCGCTTTCCTTGGGGCAGATGCATTGATCCGAAACTTCAGCGTATTCCTGCAGCCCAAATGCTTTCCCGGAAGCCAAAACATGAACGAAGTCAAAGCAGGTTGCCAGAGGCTATGTGTGAACAAACAAACTGTGAAAGCGTGCCGAACAGCACCCCGTGATTTTCAACAGGAGGTTGGGCAGAAAACTGCACTTAAACTCAGGTTCCATCCTCCTTCCTTGCTCTCTCTCTTGAATTCACTGACAACCTCTTCCCTTAGTGGGGGAAAATAATCAAAAATATCATCGCTGCCTTCGACCCCGAGAAATGGGCACCCTAAACGAGATTGCATTCACTTCACCCAGAATTCGCAAAGCATACCACCAGCGAAACTGACCATCTTCAAATCTCCAGGTTTTTTCAACGGGCATCCGTCGGCCCTTGAAACCTTGGTGTCGACGGTGCTCATTATCGGAAATGAGTAGGTGACCAGTCGGGTCACCTCACTGGCCAAGGCGGAGCTCCGGGAGTTGGGGGAGGAAGAGAGGGCACTGATGCAGGAGCTTGCGATGCGCCTATCAAGGCATCGTCCCCCAGCGAGGTTTGGCGCCCCCCCCCCCCCTCTGCAGCCACCACCACCACCCCGTGCCCCGGATTCTCCCCATTCTCCTGTCCCGCGTACCCGGCCGGCGGGCCCCCAGTGCGCCCAACTGTCCAGGAGCCCGGAGGGGTATCACAGGGGGACTGCCAACCCTGAACGGGATGGGACGCCTGTGTGCAGTCCGTCTGGGTGGTGAAAATGCTGGACGGGCGTCTTTCGGTAGGACAGTGGGCCCTAAAGGGTGAAATAGTGGTGGTTAAGGGGACGGTGTAGGGGCCTCCGGGGATTACTATGAACGGCGGGGAACTACCGGGGAACTACGGGGGGATACGGGGGATTGCCGGGGACTGTGGCGGATACATTATACTACAAACAACCTTAGATATGGTTGAAACATTGACAAGGCGCTTTTTTTCATAGGATTCCAAGATGTACGATGGTAGTCCGTGGTAGTCCGTCTGGTCCTACCAATCCTCGGCATAGTCGGTTCCAAGACCCCCAAAAACACGGACTCTGGTCTATAGTGCTTCCCGCCCTACCCCAATGACGAACGGAGTGGGCGGTTGGGAACACCGCCGGCCCCTGGGGACCCTACCGGGCCGGGGGCGGGTGCTCTACGGCTGAAGGGAGGTGCTTGGGGGACCGGGGGGCAGGAGGCAGGAAGGAGGGGGGAAGGGGGGAAGGGGGGAAGGGGGGGCTGGGAGATGGGGGAGGAGAGCGAGGAGAAAGCGGGCGGAGTAGGGGGAGCTGGGAAGGCGGGAGCAGGGCGAGGTGGAAGGGAGGGATTCGGCGAAGTAGGGGGAGATTGAAAGGAGGGGGAGGTGAGAGTGGGCAGAGTAGGGGGGAAGAGAGTGGGAGGCAGGGATTGTGTCGGGGCGGAGGGTCGGCCCTCCAAAACCCAGTCACTTTCGTCACTTTCTTCTGTATCTTTAGTATCTTAAATATCAATTCTTAAATTTTTCACAATCTGAAATTTTCTATATTCAGATCAAAACCTGATAAACATGAGATGTAGATAACCAACCAACTGTCAGATACATTGCCACACTTACAATAACCGACCCTGGCAAGGGAGCCCATGAAGTGGGAGTTTGGAGAACACACTCTGCCGGAAACAAGGACACAACAATACTAAACAAACAAATGCGGAACAAGACATTAAGTCTATTCAATGTTTTATACCAAGTGCCCTGTTGATACTCCTAATGTCAAACTCGCAGTAGATAAAAGTGTTCCCGATCACCCAACTTTCTTCACCATACCCAACTGTTCCATCACCTCCACCTTTTCCATAGAAAAGCCAACGCAACTCTTAGTTGCGTTTGTATGGCCTCTATCTTCCTACCCGAGATACTACAGAATATTTCAACTCTTCGCGAAAATACCTAGTTGCCCCATTTATTCTCCACCTCATGGAGTTGAAGTGGCCGTTAGGAGCAACAATTGCCTCCGGGTTATAAATATAGAGGATTCGAATATTAGAAAAAATTAAACTCCCACAAATAGCTTCATAAAAAGAGCTCTGGATATTTTATCTTACTCATCTGGGCAGTATAGTGTTTTCTTCAACTCCAATACAACTCAATACATGGGATGAGACGTAGCACTTGTTGCACTCAATTCCGGATGGAATTAGATGTTTGTCTTGGCATATACCGGCGGACAGATTAATACCAGTGATGCAAGAATAAATGAAATCCGGTTAGTATAGATGACGACAACCGTTTTGGCCGTAGTGTAAATAGAGAGGCAGCGTGGCTTGGGCCGCGCTTCTGCCTCGTAGGAGGGAACACCTCATGAAAAAGGCAAGGTCGGGCAAACGACCTGCAATTAAAAGGGCCTCTGTTCACCTCCCGCGCCCCATCCCCCATCCAAAACAACCATCATCCCCCATCCTACCACGACCACCCTGCTCCCACAAAGAACCAAGAAAAGTCTTGTGCTCGTTTGGCTGTCCCCTCTTGCGGAAAAGAAAAACAAAAAATAAAAAAAATAAAAGATGTCCGGTAAGCCGTATTCAAGTAACCAAGACTTCTGGAAGTACAATTCTGGCTAACAAGACCTTATATTCTTTAGACTTCATCGAAACCCACTCTGAAGCCCTAGCAATTCTATTAGCGGCAGTTATCTGGATTGTGAACAGCTGGGTGCAGGTGCTGTTCGAGCCTGAGGGCCCCACCGAGGAAGATATAGCTCTCTTGAAAACCCAATTGGAACAGCTGAAGACAGAGATTTCTCGTGCTCGGGCTGACCATGCCCTTCCCCGCACTGGAGAGCAGCCCACGGACGTGCCTGGGGTTGACGGGGTCGACGGAGTGGAGGGGTAGAGCAAGGGCGGAGGAGGTGGGGTGGGGTAACCAGTGGGTAGGGGGAAGGGGAGAGGAGGAGTAGGAAGTAGGAAAGGTGGATTGAGGGGGGTATGTGGGGTGAGGTGGGAGGACGGCAGGTGTGGGGCTGGCCGAGTGCTGGGCTGGGGGAGTAGGGTAGTCTCTTCTCAATAAAAAAATCATCTATTATATTTTTTTGTGCTTTTAGTACCCAACCCGCAATCACCAAAGCCTGTCCGGGTGCCAATCCCCAAACCCTGCACTATCTGATGTTTTCCGCATTCTGAATCCGGCTATCTCCTGGAAATTCTATTGGGTAGAGTGGTGGGATACATATAAATGAGCTACAACCTACTAGTTTCCAAAGTACCTAACACTCCCCTGCCATCCACTGGTTTTTTCCACGAAGAAACAGAACCAAACTAAGGAGATGTTCCTGTAAGGCGACCGAAAAGAATATGGGATGGTATCAGTCAGACATATCTTATACATATTGAAAACAAACCTAAATTTCCTCCTCCCTTCCTGGGATATCCGATAAGATAACTTGCATTAAGTTTTGGCCTCCTATTTTCGCCCTCATCCTAAAATAATTGGTTGTCCTTCGTTGGGCTTCATAATAGCCCTAGACGTCCAGGCACCCATCGGGGCTGTCCCGTATAATGTGCAACGAGCTCTTGGGGTTGAGGTTGCACGTATGCAGGTTGAGGATGAAACTAATCGGGAGAATCAGGCTGTGCATCAGAGAGAGTGGGTCCCAGTTTGCTTCCATTTTTACGATTTGGGAAATGTCTCCTATATACACAAACTTGCCATCTAGCATAGTAAATATCTTTACCAAACTGCTCCACTTCTCTTGCTTCATGCTTTCCCGCTTTTCCATGTACCACGAAGCACCATCGCAATCTTCCTTTCAGCTCTACTCACACTTTTTCAAAACATTACCTTCATAACCTCAGCTTCTCGTACTGCCTCGGAGACCTAGCTTCCACATATCACCCTCCTAAAGTGCCTCAACCCTTATCAAACCCTTTCAATCCTCAACCCCTAACATCTCTCGCTCCCCTCCCTTAGCTTTCCAAACCCCTTGGCCCACGCTGGCCCACCAAACACTCCTACCCTGCATATTCTGCGCCCCAGTTACATAAGAACGCCTCCTCCCTTACATGCCCTGCCAACCGGAAAACAACTACTGCCTAAAAAACTTCTGCTATGATACCCTACCATCTCGAGCACCACGGAATCTCTGTTGACCCCCAATATCCAAACCAGGACGGGGAGAGAGTTGACTTGGGGATTGAGAGTTTCAAGTTTCCGCAATGCACTCGCTCACCCGGGCTTGGAAGTTCGCTGATACCACCGGTACTCGGGTATGACACGGGTTACGAGTAAGTTAGGTGCTCTGAGATGGCTAACAATTCAGCCAGAATCCCAGCCGGCCGCAAAGTTCCTTTCACCACCATGGTCCTTAACACGAAAACCCATACTGTCCTAGATGCCTGGTAGGGCACCCTCGGGAAGATGCCGGTACCAACCTTGCAGTCCTGCCTCAACTGACACTCCTCGATAACCGTACGATACTTCGGCCCCTCTCTTCGGGGGTCTTGCAAAAAAATATGGCCAATAAACGTGGGTTTAGCCTAAATGCGGCTCTTGAGAAACGCTTCCATGAGTCGCTTGTCTGGGACCATGGCCGACAGGAGTGATTGATTACCTTGGGGTATCATGTCGATCCGTCCATCTCCCTCCGTTTGATATTACTAGGCAAACTTGATCACTGAAACGGGCCTACTGTTCTTGAAGGTTAATCGGGAGAGTGTTGTTAACGCTGCTAGCAAGCCGTGGTGTTGCGCAGGGGCCGAAGGTGCAGGATTAGGAGGGTGAATGAAGTAAGTTCAGTACTATCTGCCCCCCGTCTACTTCCTACCCTAGCGAGCTCCCGTGCTAGCTATAATTGAAGGTAATGAATATTGATTTGTGTTAATTCAGCAAGGAGAACTTCATCACCGGCCGTCCGGGCCATGAGAACCAGCACAGAAGTTCCATATTAAAGGCTCCCGGAAAGGAAAAATACGATTTCTTTTTCGATAAATTCCTCGAGCACTTTTTCACGGATTCTGAAGTGGAGTTCCTTGCCTCATTGGGGCTAACTGCTTGCGAATTCCCTTCAACTATCACCACTTCGAGGATGATATGAACCCGCGGGTGCTCAGAAAGGATGGCTTCAAACATTTGGATAGAGTGGTCGATGCGGTGAGGGTTTGCAGTTTTACTGAGGGAAAATGCTTGTGAGCTTATTAGCGATAGTGCGCGTGCCGTGGGATTTACATAATCTTGGATCCACATGCCGTCCCAGGCATCAAGAATCCCGATTAGCATTCGGATAACACCAACGTCGTCTCGTCAACGGAAGCACAAAGATTTCCAGGACAGGGTGGTTTGGCTGCGGGAACAAGTTCCAGAAAGTTATAGGGATAATGTCTGGGTATCCGTGTGTTACCCTCTCAATGAACCCAATGACTCCCGTTCGCCCCCCCCCCCCCCCACCATCCCCAAACCCGGGATATACTAATTCGCGCTAAAAGAAAAATAGGCCATACCAGACTCGTCAGTTTCTACGACCGGATAGAGAAAGCCATCCGCGCAGTTAATCCTCACCACATTCTCTGGTTGGACGGAAATACTTTCGCAACGGACTTTAGAGCCTTCAACCACGTCCCCAAACTGCGTGTACTCCATTCACGATCATGCGGGTAGCCCCTTCCCTCCAGCCCTCTCGGTACAACACTCATTGACAAGCAACCTGTTAATGGGCTTCCCAACCGGCGAACGTTACAAAGGCACCCCGGAGCAGGACCAAAAACTCGAGACTCAATATCTCTGCAAGACCGAATCATGAGACGCTTCAAGGTGCCCGTGTGGAACGGCGAGTTTGGTCCCGTGTACGAGCACGACAATGAGGGGACCAACCTCGAGAGGTACAATATGCTTCGTGCGCAACTTAGGATCTATGACAGGTTCGAGATCCCCTGGAGCATTTGGCTGTACAAGGATATCGGAGTGCAGGGCATGGTGTATACTAGCCCTGAGAGTATGTGGATTAAACCCCTCCAACCCTTTTTAGAGAAGTGGAGGTTGCAGGCGGATCCCTGAGAATATCAGCCCTGTCAGGAGCCCGGCCGCATTTGTAACGTAAAACCCCCCTGTTGCACTTCATCGACACAAAATGTTAACAATATCGCACTTAACAGCCGCTCGTTTCTTAGCTCGAAAAAGGATCCCCCGACACCGGGGACAGGTACCATAATCTCTAGGATATCAAAAGACATGTCTCTAGAATAGTCAAAGAGAGCTTCTTGAGCGAGACGCTGTCGGATGATTTCGCCAGTTACTTCTCCGGCATGGATGAGGCCGAGTTGGAGGAGGTGGTGAAGAGCTTTAGCTTTGAACAGTGTATGCAAAGAGAGGGGTTAAACAAGATTTTGAGAGAGAGCACGCCAGGGTTGGGGAGTAGAGCTATGTGGGGAAATTTCTCTATTCCCCTGGGGTATGCACGATTAGTTTTCAAAATATGAATCGAGTCTGCACCCCATTAAAGGTTAAGTCAATTCGGCAGGAGATAGTCAATTTTCGCTCAGAACGCGTAGGCTCCGGTATATCCCAATCTGTACCTCTCCCGTAGATAGTTAATTCCTAGGTTAAGAAACGAGATCGCCGAGAGAAAATAATTACTCATACAGATCATTAACCCCGCCTTCCCAAAATACTCAAACCCAACCACCCCCCACCCCTGAAATAGCTGTAACCGATTGGAAACAACCCCAATATAAACTCAACACCTCAATTCCCCTAACTGCCAAGGAAGTAGGCGGGTGATTACATGTTATGAGGTGATCCTAAACTTCGCGTAAGTTTTAGTTTTCCCATTCAAACCCGTTTCTTGCGTCATAGCTCTCAAACTATGGTCCGATCATATCAAAGGAGGGAATAGTCTCCGGCCTACAAATTTCCCCCCACGCCTCGGGTTTGCGGCTCTGACACTCGCCCTGTCTTCCTGCGGGCTGCCCTATCACTTGTCGACCGGGGGGCTCCACCGAGTGAAAGAAAAACTATGCGAATGGCCTTTAGCCGCTTAAAGAATTAGTGGAGCAAAAAGGTGAATAGACGTCATTACCGTCCCCCACACCTTGCAGGCTCGGGTGCTGGGGTCACTCTTGCACCTAAACGGATATCATAGCTGTCAAAGGATTCCGGCATCTAGCAGTATTTGATGAGGCCAATTCTTTCCCCCCTCCTCGAGGCGCAGAGCAGAGATAGGTTAGTGGCTGTTAGCCTCAGCCTCAAGCAGGCCCCTTGAAAACACTATCCAAACCTTGCTTTCGAAATTATCCTTCTGCCATTTCCGCAATTGGGGGTTCACGGGTTTGTGAAGTCGGGGATCGGCGGTATATCATACTCACATAAGGCGAAACTCTACGATCGTATCATACCCCATCAACCACGTCAACCCCGTCAACCCCGGCCCAAGGCAACAAGCCGGGGATTGTCCCGATGATACTCCATTTCATGCACCCATTGTTTTTAACGGGGTATGCCGCTCCGGTTCTGGAGTACCCCCTTCATGGCCGTCAGCGTTGGGCTTAATGTATGGGTTCTGGTGGTTTGGATTTTTCTAGATAGTCAAGGGCTATGGAGGATCACGCAGATTCATAGTGTTATATTTTATAGAGAAGGTGTCCGCTCAGAGTTCGATCGTCTGTCGTGTTTTGGTTTCGGTTTCCGGACTTGTTAGCGCTGGGGCGATATATAAATTATCACTCGGTCCGTCCTGGGCTACAGCAGCGTATCCATCGATCGTACAGTCCACTGCTATTTCACGCTTAGATTCCCCTAGAGCCTATTATGATCGCACTCCCGCCTCTTCATCCTTCAGCGCTTGCTCCGTCTTCCATTACCATACCGGCAAAGTCGGTTCATGCACCTAACCAGATCGGAGAGTTTCATGTATGTTAACCCTTTAGCTTCATGCATAGTGTCAAGATCGATAATGAATATAGTGATGCGTTCATGCTTTGGCTACACGTCCTAGAATCCTTACAGGAGGTCTTTAGTTCGTTTTGTTTCTGAAAATAAAAACCCAGGCATGTATCATCGATATTCAACATGGGCCGTTCGGAAAATGGATAAAAGCTAGGTTTGAGAGTGGAATCCCCAGTTTTGGCTGATTCCCCAGTTCTTGAAGATTTTTCAGGTATCCGGGGCCGCGCTAGACATATGTTGTCACTCGTAGGACACTTGAAGGTTATCAGACTGGCGGAAGAACCGGTCCTCCGAACACCACAGTACCCCCGGAGGGAAATTTTGGGATCGAATACACCAGGTCTGGCATGATCTCCTAGAAGGATAGAGTTAAAGGTCATTACCGGTACCATTCGAGGGGCAGCGTAGCATAGCCCTATCCTTTTCTTTCCCCTCCCCCCTCCCCTCTTTCCCTTTAGTCCGATGAAACGAGGAGCGATCCCTATATAATCGACTCCACAATCAACTTGCCATCTCCCCACCAAGCTAGTAGCAGTTTCAAGCCAGGCAGCGAATTTGTCAGCCCTCCCTCCTCCTGAACGAGCTCCAAGATCTACTTGAACAAAATTTAAATGACTCGCTTTCCCCTACGGCAGTCGTTTCGGAAACCCCGGTGCAACATTCTAACGCCGAGCGAAGGTGCCCTTAATTTGTCGACAAAAATAATAGCCCAATATGTCAGGTACCAAATATGAAGTGCGCAAGGCGTACAAAAGAAATTGAGCTTGTCTGAATTCACCAGTTTTCCCGACACGATACTATCACATTTATCCATGGATTTTCAATGGAAAAAAACCCCCTTAGTCATCGCGACAGAAAATTCAACCACAAATTGACCATGACAGCTAACTATTGTTGGCACAATCCTCAACTACAGGCTTTTGAGGTAGCCATTTAGCGCATTAGAATTTGTGACATGTCCCTTTCCCCCATATTCTCTGGGAAGTCGTATGCTGACTGTATGAAAAACGGCCAAGGAAACAATCTCGTGACCGGAATACTAGCATTGGTATGATAGTACTATACTATACTATACTCGCACAGTGTGGTACCTCCAGCCCCCCGCCCCCCTGTCGCAGTTGGGGTGTTACCACAAAGCCTATCCACCCCCCTGAAAAACCAAGCCATACGGCAGGATCGTTATTTAGTGCGAACACCCCGAAAAGCAGTGTCCCGCATATAATACCGGTATTCAGGCTATCGGCGAAGCCCCAGGACCAAGCTCAAAAGGGTTAGGGTTGGGGTTAGTCTATCAAATTGAAGATCTCCCGGTATCCGAAGAAGGCGCCCGAGGTAGTCCATCCTTTGGGAGAAGAGTGGTTTAAAGGTTTGAGAATAAGGCTGGGCCATTATAAATTCTTGCCAGACACCAAAGTTATTATTTATTGCCATTGTCCCTGAGCCACAGCTATCGCAGTCTTCTACGTTACTGGTATTCTTTAAGTTCATCAAGTGTCGCCACCGCCCTTGACATGAGACTTCTTCTCCACTTTGCTAGCATCCATTAGGCCTGAAATTTGTAGTTAGTATCTACTCCTAGATAAATTGGAATTTGGGTTGAGCGTTCGGCGGAGTTGGCAAAGATTGGGAAACCCGAGTTTCAGCCCAAGCGAACACTACAGGAGATAGGTGAAAGTGCTTTACAATGTTTCCTAACGCCAACATCAGTGTCACCTTGCATAGGGGGACAGGTTCCAGAGGGATTAGCTACTCCGGTAGGAAAAGCAGCCCTCTAAAATGCCTTGCTCATGGCCGCCGCAGCAAGTTGCAACCAGTCATTAAAACCCCTACAAATACAAGTAGGAAATAGGTTTATAAATCCTCTAGTAATTCGCCAACCTTCTATTTTGTGCACCGAAGATCCGGTGTGTAGAGAATCTTAGACTTGGTGTTAGTTGAACAATTTTGTAAGCCCTCAGACCCCCAAACCCTCTCAGACCCGAACCGGGGTGGATATGATATCATGGGAAGTCGATCAGGATTTTGGAGCGGAAAATATGCCAAGACCCCTTCTGAGTCCCTTAAAGGTCTATTACACCATACTAGGTCCCTCCGACGCTTACAAAAAAATTACAAATTTCTGGCATCTACCTACCAATCGAAACTGCTACCATGGGTAACGAGTATGATCCACCTCGGGTTACTGTCAATACTCTCACCGAGATTCATTAGGATGAAAACATCACGTTTGCAGTTGATGCCTAAAACCCAGAAACTTGGAAATTTGCCTAACAGCCGCATTTCAGTACTTATCAGAAAAAACGGCCCCAACAATGTTGTTTCTTGATCTCAAAGGATCACCGACCTCCCATATGTTATCCCTACCCGAGCACCTAGTTTATTTCAGAACTCCCAAGGCAGGAGACGGCACTGTCAGAAACGGGACCATAGGTGTGTCTTAAGGATAGGCAGGATTGTTGGAACCGATAAAGATCGTGAGTTGTGGGTGGTTATGGGAGGTACGGGAAGGATGTTGGAAGGTCATAGTTGTTTCTAGAAGTCATGAGAGTACGTTTGATTGTTTGGGAAAATCATAAATTTGTTTGATGGTCAGAAGAGGAACCAGGTTGCTTTGATGATGTTTTACTTATACACCTATCATTACCGATTTACTTGGAGAGGGTGGATTGAGCAAAAACGAAGTTCATACCTCTCATGGTTATCCCACCACCGCGAAGTCCCATCCTACTCCGTTATTTTTACCACTACGCAACCTAGTAGTGAGCTCTCATATATAACAAGTCTAAGGGCCTACTATCATACAAGTTATGCTCAATCCAGTCCTAACGAAGGTCTTTCCTAGGGGTTTTTTATCTAAAGAACGGGGAAGACCACAAGCTCGACTATATAGGTTGCTATAAGGTCTTAGAATATGAGACCCAATGAGGCCACTCGCCCCCCAGCGCATCCGAGAGTTTACGGGTTTATCGCAAACCAGCGGGAACAGCAACAGATTTTCGCTGCGACTGGTAAACATCATTGTTCTCTCGCCAGCCACTTCTCACAAGATTGATGCTAGAAAACAAATTTCCATCTTGATACTATCTATCCCACGAGTAAAGGTACTGTACATAACTTAACTCTTGATTTTCCATCAGCAATCACATGCCCCCCCCCCCCCCCCCCACGTATCTCTTTAATAACAAAATCAATAGAGAACCCCGAAAAGAAACGCTAGAAAGTTCTAGGCACCCCAAGACCACAAGCATGTCATTACCCACATACCGGTAACCCATTCATCCGGTCCCACGCACCCCTCAATCTATCGCTCCCCATTTGTCAGAATCTATTGACACGGACCACTCCAGATCCTGGCCGGCCCCCATAGTCCCCCGGAGAAAATCCGCCGCCGATTACCAATACCTACAGTCCTAGAACTAGAACTGTAATATAATGACACACCTTATCAGCCAGGTGGTCCTTAACAAAAACCTGCTGCCCTCAAAGTTACAAGCCCAGACAAACTGCAAATCGAGTCCCCGCCCTGTCCAGCCAC